ATCGTATGACTGCACATGCACTAATAGCTGCCTATACTTGTAGGAATATTTCAGAATGCACAAATTACCAAAAAAAGAAAGGGGAGGGGGAGGGGGGCTTCTTTGTTCTTAGAAGAATGCAGCTGATGAGAGTTCTTCGCTAAGGCATCAAGCCTGGGAGGTAACCATCCTGGTGCAGCACTCAAGGTCTCGTCACCTGGGGATCACAAGCTCATCGGGCCAAGGATCTGGACAATGGGCATTAGTTAAAGGGAATTAAGTCTTAAAATGCCTAAATTATCTGCCACGTATAAGTAAAGGCATCTGTTCAAACAACCAGAGGTATCATTAAAATGTCACACTATTATGTAGTCCTAATTAGTGCAGGCTAGTCAATACTTTCATTCAGACCAATTGGTGAGACACTGTTTAACCTTCATGCCCACTGTGCTTTTACATAGCAATAAATGATCATTAAGTGTACCAAGCAGTTTAACTGCCCAAAATGTAATTTGTAACACTGTAAGTGGCTCATTTTCCTTTTTTCTGAGCATTGGCCTGGGGCATCACATATTATTAATGTGAATTACATTAAAAAGGAGAGCTCAGGACCAGATCAGTTTTGGAGAGAGGCAATTGTGTTAGTCTGCTGCAGCAAAAACAACACCGAGTCTCATGTCACATTGAAGATGAACAAATGCACATAGTATAAGCTTTTGCGAGGTATCTTATGTGATAATAAAATGATTACCTTTAGAGTGCCACAAGACTCTCTATTGTCTGCTCTGGGGAGGAGGCTAGTGCATCTTGAAGGTCACAGTCCTGGCTGTTCTCTAAAGCTCAAACCACTTCCAGCTTCTTGTTCATTTATACAAAGATCAGCTTCCTTTGAGCCTGGCACACCTGACAGCATCTTCTGCAGAAAGAAGCAGGCAATGTTTTCAATTAACTGATTTAGTCTTCAGAGCCTACCAATGGGAACACACTGGCCGTATTCACACATAACGACAACTGGAAATTGCGCAGGCAGGACTTGTGGTTATGTGTGAATTCTGCATTGATGGCAAAATGCAGTCCATTTGGTTACCATAAAACCCCATGGAGAATCAATGGTGTTTTAAGGTCTCCAAGCATCACCATTACTTGCCCTTGCATGTGACTCCAGTAATGTTTTGCATGGTTTTTGCATTTCCACTAGCAAATTTGGCAGCAAGAGAGGCCATGGCTGCAGCGGATGCGCCAATCTCCATTTTTTGTTAACCCATTTATACATTTAAGACTTTTCTATTTATTCTAGAGCAGCCTTCCCCAACCTGGCAGCCTTCAGCGGCATTTGGACCGCAACTCCCAGAATTCCTATCCAACAGAGCCATTGACTGGACATTCTGGGTGCTGCAGTCCCAATGTGTCTGGAAGGCACAAGGTTGGGGAACGCTGTTCCAGAGACTCTCATGGCGGTTTACTATTCAGCCTAGCAACTGCTGAGTTGCTGGCAGCTGCACTCTGATTGGCAGCCTCCACACTCCCTACCAACCTCCAGCAGCAGCGTCCACAGAGGCAACTCGGCCTGGTCGCTGCCCTCAACTAGAGTGATGCTTTGAAGTGGCCCCATGCTTGGGCTTCTTCCTGGGCACAGCACATGGGACTTGACCAACAGGACTAGCACCCCACAGAGCCCGTGTCTCCCGCCCTCAGCCCTGCTCCCATTTTGTCCTGGACAATCCTCAGGACCCCCTGCAAGCCTGCAGTCCCCTACCACACTGTCCTGCCAGCCATCCAGCAACCTTTCCCAGGCAGATGCCCAGACATCTTGAAGGTCACAGTCCTGGCACCATCGGGAAAGTCTGCCTGGCAGGATGCAATCCCTCCATTCCTGACCTGGCTGCCAGTGTGGATACCCACGGTGTGTGTGTGTGTGTGTGTGTGGCAGCCACTGGCAGCATGTGTGAGTCTGGACACACATGCAGGGATGGGGTAGAGGGGTGGGTGTGCTTATGCATGGGCATGGCATGTGGCGGCAGCAGCGAGTTCTCCTGCTGTGCTACCCTGCAGCAACGGTGCTGCTCTAGCAAGTAGGCTGTTGCTTCACTGAGCAGCCAACAAAACCAAGCAAAAGCAGGAGCAACTGGCTGGGGCCATGGCCAGGGGAGCAGGTGGGCCAGCCAGAGACAGCCAGTGCGGTGTAGTGGTTAAGAGTGCAGGACGGGGACTCAGGCGACCTGGGTTCTGGTCCCCGCTCGGCCATGGAGCCCACTGGGTGACTTTGAGCCAGTCTCAGACTCTCAGCCCAACAGAGTTCTTGTGGGGATAAGACAGAGCAGGTGGAAGAGAATGATGTAAGCTGCCTTGAGTTCAGTGTAAGAAAAAAACAGGAAATAAATCCAATAAGTAAATAAACAGGCAAGTGTGGGAAAGGCAGGCAAAGTAGGAAGGAGTGGTGCACACTGCCGCTTGGAGGGAAGATGGAGAAGCATGGAAATCATACATGCATAGAAAACATGTGAATGTGTCAACATAGGACACAAGGTAAAATATCATGCTGTGTGGTTACCATGTTAACATTATGTGAACACACCACTGCTTAAAAACACCCAGACCCAGAATTGCACATATATTATACAGTATCAAATAACAAAACTTCCAAAGATCAATTCTTAAAATAAAGGAGAACATAAAAATTACTTTTTTTAACCAACTGTTGGGCAGAGCGATCCTCTGGTCACTAGGAGAGCATCTGGGGAATTATAGAACTGCTCACGTCTACAGGCTACAGACACTGCCACAACTTTGGACCCTTATTTGGGGATCCTCCTCCCTCATCCCCTTGCAGGTGTTATGAAAAGAATGGAACCAGCCACATCCCAAGCACCCAGTGGGAGGGCAGGGGGAAGGATACAAGAAATCCTATGCCCTCTCCAGCCTGGCTGGGCCCCTGGAGTGGGCTCAAAGGCCCACCTAGGGGGAAATTTTGCAAGTAGAAGGTGGAGGTGAAAATCACATTTGTTGCTTCTCCCGCCCTGCTGCCAGAAGTCTGGCAAGGCACTGGATAACCAGAAGCCTAAGAGATCCTATACATGTAATGTTTCAGGTGCACGGAAGTGTTAAAGGACAGCTATTCCTTCCTCCCAACTTGCATTTGCTATGCTATATGCTACAGGAAGGCAACTTCTGCCTCTCAAGATATTTGGGCCTGTAACTCCCAGCACAGCACACATACACCTCGCATAGACAGTGGTTAGGGATGCTGGGTGTTGTAGGCCAAAACTGGAGTTACAACAGCCATCAGCCTTAGCCACTGACTATGCTACTATGGGGTGATGTGAATTATAGGCTCAAACATCTGGATGGCCAAAGTTGTCCACCCCTGCACTAGAGGGTTTCCAGGCCCAAACCTGCACATTTTATAGTATATATAGGAAGGAGCAGATGAAAGCATTTTCTAGTCCAGCATTCTGGCATGAAGTGGCCAACTGGCTTTCTACAGGATGTCCACAAGCAAGTTGTCAGGGCGAGAGATCCTATTGCTGATCCCCTGCACTGCCCTCCCCCCGCTCCCTACCCCAGGCGAAGTCCACACACTTGAAAACCAGTGGAAGTATTCATTGCACACTTGGAAGCTACTTGGACACAGTGTTTAAGGTGATCAAGTGTGTAAAAGGGGGTCCTTGTCCTTGTCTGTCATTATCGGGCACTGAAGATGCACCTCCTTAGTCAGCTCCAAGCAAAGCAACAGGTTGCTTACTGGTACGGTGCTTGGATGCCACCAGCATACTCTGTCCATAGCAAGGCTAGCTAGGCAATGGGCAACCACACAGGGCTGGGTAGCCCTGCCATTAGAGTGAGGCAGGCAGTTGATCTATAGCCATGGGCCACAGACAATAAAACTTGACTGATACATGCTTGGGAGAAAACATTAACTGAAGACAAATTGAGCGAGTTTGCACGTAACAAGTTACTGTGGGTGAGTTTCTCCACGGGGCTTTTGTTGAAGTAACCAGTGCTACTTGAAAATTCAGGCTGTCGTGGGGGTGTGCTGCACCGCTTTATGTGCAAACCTAGTGAGAGCAGGCTATTGGGGTGCTTAACAAGTCGCTGACAACGCTTGAACAGGCTTTGGGTTCTGGGGGACTTGTTAACCACCTCAGCAACCCACCCTCACCAGATTTGCCCATAACAAGAAATGCAGAACAGCAAATCCCACAGGGAAATTCACCCATGGTGGCTTGCTGGTACATGTGAACCAGGCCAGTATCGCATCCGGCTCTTAACCCTTTATTTGGGTGCAATGGGTTAGGGAGCAAGTCAGCCCCACCCTTGGTTCCACATGGGTTAAGTAGATGCTAAGATCCACTAAAACAAATAGAAGTGGGCTGCAATCTTAAGTGCATAACGGATCCTGTAGAGTGCTGTGGAATTATTTCCAAGTAAACATACCTAGAATTGCAATATTAATGTAACACCATCAAGCTGAGGAAGTGAGTTTGCAGCCTTGAAACCACTAGAATGTTGAAGTTACTGTCCTATGTACACTTCCTCAGGAGTAATAAGGAACTCAGTGCACCTTCAAGTAAATTGCAAAGTCTGATGCTTCATTGCTGTAATCCCACACACAATGATTGAAGAGTGTGCCCTGTTGAACGCACTCTGCATGCTGCAGAGCAATCACGCATAACATTGGGTTGGCTCTGGACATGCTGCTCCATAAATGGAAAGGTCTGATGTGCAGAAATGACCCAGATTTAGTGGAGTCTCCTGCTGCAAGGGGGAGTGGGAATGTCATTGACACTGATTTTTCCTTGCCTGTGCAGCCCTCTGTGCTGCTGCCTATGCTGCTCCAGAGCAGATTCCTTAGGGGAGAGCAAAGGTAGCTGCAGAGGAAAGGGGAAGTCTGTGAAGATGGTCCCACTTCCACTCCCTGGCAGTTCAATTAGTGGAATTCCACTGCATACAAATCTGGAGCCAAGCCATTAATTAAAAAGTAGGTGTCTCTGGAGAAGTATGGAGTAATCAACTGAAAAAAATCAATTTAAAGCTTTTATTGTATCATTGTAACTTCAAATGTTGTGAAACAGTTTTCAACTATTTTCAGCTTTTCTTCAGAAAGGAGATTTTCCTGCTTCAGTTTTGCAATAAGTGCTTCTAGGGATTTGAGTCTGCTTAAAGTCTTTCTCTCCTGTACTTCTAAAAGTGCTATTTTGGAGTGCAGCTTTGCAATTTTTTGCCAGAGTTGTTCCTTGTCTGTGTCTTGCCTGCAGTATGAATGTTCAGTTTGTAGCACTTCAATGCCACTGCCACTGGTGATACACATAGAGTTTTCAATTTCTACGTTCAATTCCTGTTCTGTGGGTAGGAATGAACCCTCTAACAACAAGGGAGTTCTAGGACCCTCAGAAGGAACTATAATGGTAATAACAGACTCTTTATTTCCACTGAACTCTTCTAAAGCTTGTGACACAGTTTGGAGTAACACAGAATTTTCATCAGTTTGTTGTACTTCCACTGAACAGTCTGCAATATGAGTGTTCGAACGATCAGATGGAAGATCTGGAATTGGTACAGTGACATTGTTAATTTCCAGAGAGGACTCCAAGTGTTCAGGATGAGTAGCCTGTAAAACTGTAGTTTCTGAATCTGAGACATGATCAAGACACAAATGAAGATCATGAACGGAAGTTTGCAAAATTGTGGTTGTACTATGGAAGGGGTTCTCTACAGAGTTAGTAGAACTATTTTCTGGGGTGTTCAAATCAGCAGTTCCTGTATTTTCCACATCAGCTGCTACTAACACAGATCTTGCTTGCTCCATATATTGCTTAACTATGTTATTTGGATATGCAATGTTATTTTCAGCTTTTACTATATTCTGAAGTAGTTCTTCCTTTCCTGAAGACTTGCTGGGAGTTGTACAAAGTGCTTTTCGGTATAGGCTTTCTTCAATTATAATTCTCTTTGGTGAACAAGATTTAAGAGATGTAGTTGCTACACTCTTGTTCCTTTCTTTAGCATCTTCTGTTCTTCTCTCCTGCATTTTTTTCTGGGAAAGTCCCTTTTCCTAAGAGGAGAAATGTTCCACTTGATTAAAATGCCCCTGAGTGTTACACATTGCATAGTAATTCTTTCTGTTATGCAGTCCTATCCTATGCATATTGGCCACAATGGGACTTACCTCTGGGTAAAAAGGGCTTACTCCTTCTGCGCATAGGCCTGCAGCCTTAAATTCATTACCACAATTGTGCTATTCAAACTGAGTTTAAGCAGGGTCCATTATTAACCTTCCCCCTATGATAGACAATTCACGCATTCAGGATTTGACCCAGAATCTGCCTCCCATAAGGAGGGGAACTCGCTTGCCTGATTCATGGGGATCCACCCTAACAGCTGCATGACTCTGCACCATTTGCAAGGGGCTGAGAGGTTGCTATGGGAAGCAGTGAGCAGGGAAGTCCTCTCCCATCTGCCATCAATCCAATGTGAATCTGGATCTACCCTAACAAATAATTTTGAGGCATCTCTCCAGGATTATTTTATTTTCAACATTAAAACAATCCTGGTCAAATCTAAAACTGATGTTGTAAGTAACTGTTTTCAGATGACAAGGCCCAAGAAGTGCACATACTTAGAGCTCTGCAGGCATGAGTTGCCATGTCATAAAATGATTTCCCAGTAAAGCTTTACATAAGTTTTCTGTGACATTTAAATTATAGTAGGCCCACTTTACTAAATTTTCCCCTTGTCCAGGTATTTCAGTTCAACAACTTCTTAGCTACTGGCAAAAAAATAAAAAAATAAAAAATCAAATATTTATACAGTGTGTAAAATCAACTTGCCATATCTTTTTTTAGTTTATTAAATATATGTCAAATATGCTATACTGGATCCCAATGATTTAGGCCAATGGAATTTTTTCTGGAAAATCCAATCCACTGATTGTTGCAGATGGGGCTTTTGTAAAATTTCAGCTTAACTGCAACACTGCACTGGATAATTGGGACCAAATCAAATCAGCAAAGTGGAAACCTCCTTTCTCTCCTTCTTACTCCCCCACCACCCCCATAAGCAAGGGAGGTCCATGAACAATTCAGGAATGACTCTAATACCAAGCCCATTGAAGTCAACGGAAATACTTGCCATGTCATTGTGGGGCAAGAATCATATGGCATTTCTAATTTGCAATGCGTTACCTGATTATCAGATGATGAAAAAATAGTTGGCACTGCACTTGTTTTCAAATATCGAATACCCCACCGCACATCAAGAGAATCTGGTGTAAAATGGTCACTGCAGAGGACCTGATGCTTACTGGGAGTCCACGTGCCACATTTCATATTTCGTAACCATTTCTCCAATCTTTCTTTATCATGAAGAGGAAATCTGTGACAAAAGATTTGTAAAAAAACCCCAGTATGTTATGTTTCAGCTCATGTTCTGCCTGTAACATTTTGGCATTCCTGTGCATCTGTGGTGTTAGCAAGCTTACTAAAAACCAGTAAGCGTGAGAGTTCTCTTAAAAATTAAATGAGTTGTATAATTCCTCAGCCAAGTGATATCATCACCACAATTCAAAGAGTTGGTATTGATCTGTCAAGCTATTGAGTGGCTTAGAAGTATCTCAGAAACTTTTTCCACTTACATGAATCTGCCCATGAATTAAGATCTATCCCACAGTCTCTTCTGAATGCCACCAAAACCAGAGGAAAGTCAGCTATTTTCTATGGTAGCAACAGGTGAAACCAGAGTTTCAAAGGTTTTTTTATGTCTACTTCTTTCACCTGACATTAACATAGGCTTTTGCGAAAGGATGGCATATAAATATTATAAATCAATCAATCAATCAATAAATGCAACTGCTTTTTGTGCAACTGTTGTGAATGTTCACTTATTTTTCATTTGTGTTGAAACAGCTAACAAATTCTGGAAATTTCCTACCGAAGAACAGGGTATATTTAACAATAGTTTGTGCAATTTTTATGCCTGTGAATTACTTCTGCAATTTGTCATAGGCTCTGCATTCATATTGATTGGTTTATATTAAAAAGATCTACTGAAATATCAGGATTCTATTTCAATAGCTATTCTTTCAACATCATTACCAAAGAACTTTGATATTGCCATCAGCGATATCCCTCCCTCTTTTTCACTCCAGCAGACTCAAATGAAACTTCAGAGCACAGTCCTTTTATTACAGCTCTACAAGTTACAAAGCAGCACAAATTCATGTGGCATGCTTTGAGATGTGAGATAAGCATCTACCCATGCAAAAAGTTCAATCCAACCTGAAACTTCCCGTCCATTTCCGAAAAACTTCTGACTCCAGACACAGAGTGACTCCTGCTCCTGAGGGCCAGATGCCAGAATGCCTTGCAATTGGTCCACTCACTTTGCCTGTCATTTCCCAATACCTTTATACCGAGGCTATAGATTTTCTCTGGGTATTGGTTTTGGTTTACTTGAAAAACATAGACAAAGAACCTTGTGCCATTTTAAAGACTATTAAAATAATTGTAGCTATTTTTTATTATTTAGGATGGCTTACATATGCTATAAAACTACGTAAGTTTCCTGGAAGCTTTATACTTACTGGACAGAGTCAAACTCATGATAGCCACTAGGAAAGTTTCAAGGAACAAAACAACATAGAAATCTTACTGTCAGAAGAACTGTCTATGCTTTCTTGAGTGGATGCAAGTTGCCTAGTGGCAAAGAAAATGAAATTTAAATGTGCTCTGTTGTTCTGTTTATCTTTCTGGCCTCATCCCTGCCAGACGAAATGGGTTCTAGGACTGAACTTTGGAAAGCCCCATTTATGTTGGGATTTCCTTTGTGCCCAGAACATCAATTTTACACTAGTATCATGAATATGAATATTAATTATACTATGATAACATCGCACTGAAGCCAAATACTTCCTGAAATACATCTAGTAGGAAAATCCATATTTTTTGAGGCTGCTGATTCAAATGATAATTTTGTAGTCTCTGGGCTTATGTCCTGCCAAGCAAACATGTAATGGAACTAGCAGCAGGACTTGTATTTTGTGGCTTGCTTGTTAATCACTTTTTGCAGAAAGGGAAATGAAAGTTACTCATTTGTTCTGGCAACCCTAACCAACCTGCTATATTTTACTTCACTGACCATGGTGCGGCTCCCCTCCAAACCAATTTTATCCTTACAACAATTCCACTAAATAGGATAGGCAGAGAGGTAGATCATCCAGTGACTTTCATGACTGACTGAGGATCTGAAGCCAGGCCTCTCAAATTCTATTTGGTACTCTAACCACTTCATCATACTGACTCTTGAAATGGGCAGAGGGTTGTAAATGCAGTTGGACTCTGAATGCACCTAATAAACTTTGGGGAAGAAAACCATTGTTTTCTGGTGACTTCTTTGCATCTGTACTGATGCTCCTGAGCAGCTTGTCTTCTATAATATACTAGATATAATTACAGACATGATCCACATCTCACACAGTAACTCCTAACCTAACACCTGAGTAATACATTCATAGTAAGGTGTATGGATGCATAAGAAGAAATGCAAAGGATCTGGCTTTCACATTTAAAAGGCATATAGAAAAGGTGCATTTGCTGCAGCTCCAACTGTTGCTAATGTTCTTCATATGTGTTGGACTTCAGCTCTGATAAGCTAACAAGGCCAATGATCAGAAAAGGTAGAGGCTGTAATCCAACATATCTGGAGGGCACCAGACTGGGGAAAGCTAATTTATTCTATCACAACTATGGGACCCATCCCCTGCACACTGCCCTAGAGTGTGAGCCCCCTTCGTATCTCTGGTGCTTCATTCCAGGAAAATATAGGAAGACTCATAGAACAGTAGAATCCGTATGGGTGAGCGGGCCATCAGGTCCAACCCCTGCTCAGCGCAGGACTCAAGTTAAACCATCCCTCCAAGATGGTTGTCCAGTTGCATCTCAAATGCCTCCAGTGTGAGAGCCCACAACCTCCCTAGGTAATTGGCTCCATTGTCATACTGCTTCAACAGTCAGGAAGGTTTTCCTGATATCTAGCAGTTCTGGCTTCTTGTAACTTGAGCTTCTTGTAACATGTCATGCACTCTGAGATGATCAAGAAGAGATCCCGTCCTTCCTCTTTGTGACAGCCTTTCAAGTATTTGAAGAGTGCTATCATATCTCCTCTCAGTATTCAATTCTCAAGGCTAAACATAACCAAGTCTTTCAATCTCTTCTCATAGGGCTTTGTTCCCAGTCCTGGAACATCCTTGCTGCCCTCCTCTGAACACTTTCTAGCTTGTCTGCATCTTTCTTAAACTGTGGTACCCAGAACTGGACACAATACTCTAGATGAGGTCTGACTAGTGCTGGGTATAGGGAAACTAGTCCCTCACAGGATTTGAAGTGATACTTCTATTAATGCAGCCTAAAATAGCATTTGCCCTTTTTGCAGCTACATTGCATTGTTGGCCCATATTTAGTTTGTGTTCTACAACCACTTCAAGATCCTTCTCACTTGCAGTATTGTTGAGCCAAGTATCCCTCATCTTGTGGTGATGCATTTGGTTTTTCTCCCTGAAGTGCAGTACTTGGCCTTTGTCCCTATCGAATTTCATTCTGTTGTTTTCAGCCCAGCACTCCAACCTATCAAGATCACCTTGAATCTTATTTTTGTCTTTCAGGGTATTAGCTATCCCACCCAGTTCTGTGCCATCTGCAAATTTGCTAACTGTTCCCTGCACTTTCTCAACAAGATCATTAATAAAAATATAAAAGAGCACTGGGACCAGGATTGACCCCTGCAAAACCCTGTTACCTCTCCCCAGTTTGAGAAGGTGTCATTGATGAGTACTCTTCAATCCAATTCTGTAGCCAACTGTAGATCAACCTGATCATTTTTCCATCTAGCCCGCTTTTAGCTAGCTTGTTAATCAGGTATCATGGGGCACTCTGTTAAAACCTTTGCCAAAGATGGATTGTGTCCACAGCATTCCCACACAGGGAGGTTACCCAATTAAAAAAAAAAAAAAGACGTAGCCAAAGCAGTACCTGAGCACTTCTTTTTCTTCGTAATGTGTTATCATTTTGCCATCCACTCTGAGTAGCTGAACCCATTTCTTTCCTCTGGACATATCAGAAGGCTCTTCTGGTGCATTTAGCATCCCTTGCTAGCCTAAGTTCATTCCTAGCTTTAGCCATCCCTGCAATTCCGTGCTACCCGTCTTTATTCCGCCCTTGTAGCCTGGCCTTCTTTCCACTTCCCATGCGTGTCCTTTTTTGTTTGCAGAGCATCCCGAAGCTCTTTGTGAAGCCATACGGGCTTCTCCTGAATAAGCACGCTCACCTGAAAGAGAACTCCCCCCCTCCCCAATTTATGGGACCTTTTCCCAGTCAACCTGACATTATATGAGGGCTGGGAGGAGGGACAAGGGCATCCCTTCGGCCTTCCTGACCGAGGCACTCACGGGTAGAAGCTGAGCTTGCGCTGATCGCGGGCGCTCTGTCCCGCTCGGTTCCTGCAACAGGTGGCTGCACAGTACCGAGGCATAGCAGGCGCTCCGCCGAGGCGAGCAATCCTAGAATGCGCCCGAAGGGTGACCAATACGACGCACTTCCGCTTCCGCGAGCGCTTGACCCTCCCCCCATAGCCGGAAGGGGCGCTCCGTTTGGCGGCGTCAGTCAGTTAATCGTCTCGTCACCCGCGCGGGGCAACAACAGCCTTCCACGTGCGCCGAAGCGGACGGCCGCGTGACGCCGCGTGGCCAATCGGGGAGCGCTTCGTGGAGGACCGTCGCCCTTGTTCCTCGCGCCGCGCCTCTTGACGGCAGTATAAGGGAAGCTTCGCAGGCAGCAAAGCGGCTCCCCGACGACAGCGGCTGGTGAGTGAGGGTGGGTGGGGGCGCCGTCGGCCAGGCGCGTCTTAGGCGGCCTCCCCAGAACTGCCTCCCCGGTTGGGGGACCCCTGGTCCCTCTGAGGAGAAAGGGGCAGGGCTGAGAGGCAAAGGGCGAGGCTTCTTCAACAGCGGGAGCGGGGGGATGTAGGCGCAAGGAACCCCTTTGCGTTATGTGCAGTTTTAGTTTAGGGCCCATTCATTTCCTATTCTAAGTAAGTTAAACCGTTAGTTTCGGGGCGCCCCTCAGTCACTACAGGGTCAGTTGTTAAATGAAGTGGGTTTCCATAAAGTAGGACTAGTTTTGTCTTTCCTTGAGAAGGTTTTTGTTTTTTAACTCCTCCTTCAGTGCAAGTTGCCGTGAGAATGTGTAACAAACCCAGGGCGTCCCACCTCCCAAGAGCTCTGTGACATCCACTGGCTTAGTGACTCATCCACTGTGATTATGAACTCAAGTTTTCTTGGTCCTGGGTCAGCGCTGCTTTCGTCGTGCCTCACTGGCCTTTCTGGCGGTGGCATCTGCCTTGGAGCAGCTTTTCCTTCCCCTTTAATTCTAAGTCTGGCAGGAGCGGGAGGTTAGGCCACGACCGCTGCACATTGACAAGAGTAGCATTCTGTGTGTGCTTGGAGGCAGCTTCCTTTGTTGGAATGTTATGTATTCCAGAAGGACTCTTATCAGAGCAAAAATTAGTGGGAAGGGCTATGTACTTTTGAGGAGCATTTACTTTTGGTAAAAGAGGAAAGCTGGGATGGGGGAAGGACCTTGGATATAAAAGTGATGATATACATGAGAGGAGCAGAAGCTGGCTTGGATTTCTGTGGCAGGAAACAGGTTCTGTTTCAGCTGTAAGGGGGCTTTTGGCTATTTATGTATTGCGTTTTAAAGAGAGAATCTTATTCAAGGCTGGGGCTTTCCTACCCCCCCCCCCAAATTATCTGTGTAAGGACACATAGTTGCTGATCAGTGAGAGAAAGCAGCACTGAATGTGTTCACAAGTAGTGGGTCAAATGAAATCATGTTTTAATTGGTGACTGGTTGAGATTCTTAAACTTTAAAAGTTGGCTCTGAGATATGAAGTTTAGAAGGTGAAGGAAGTTTTGGCACAACTTCTCTTGAATGTTCCAGCAGTCCCATATAGTTGAACATGCCTGAGCCACTTTGTTTACTATATGCTTAATTACATATGCATGCAATACTTAGCTATTACTTGATGTCACACCCTATCTTCTTGGTTTTTCTGTTCTGCAAGGATGTTATCAATCAGTAACACTCAATGATCCAGACTGATAGCACCACTTACATATCTGTCATTGCTGGACTCTGCTCTGTCTCTCCCCAGTTTCTTACACAGAGGAAAGTTGAAGGGGATTTGTGTGTAGTTGCTTACAAACTGCTGTGTATGGAGTCGCATCTTGTTAGTAGTGTAGTATAGTGAAATAAACTAGGAAAGTTGTATCTTCACCTCCCTGTGGAGAGAGTTTCAAAGCTGTCAGACCATTGCTGGGAAATCCCTGTCACTACTACCTATCAGCTTAATGGCTCTCACTGGTGGGCCACAAAGTAGGGCCTCTAAAGTTGATCTTAATACTTCAACAGGTGCATAGTAAAATAGCTGGACATTCAAGTAATATAGTCAAAAAGCATTTAGGGCTTTTACAGGCACCTTGAATTCACCCAAAAACTAATAGGCAGCCAGTGTAACTGATACAGACTAATGTGATCTGAGGACCAAGTATCCACAAGCATCTAACTGCTGCATTCTGTACCAGTTGAAGATTCCAAACCATTAAGTATGGCTTGACATTGCAATGCAGTAATCTAACCAAGGCATGGGCTGGCTGGGTCATCCAAATTGGACCACAGCTGCTGAGTCATCCAAAACTAATAAAAACCATTTAAACCATTCCTGGCAACAAATGCCCCCTGCACCTCTTCATACACAGTGGAGAAGTTGCCAATTATACACTCCACAGAACTCATTCTGATGTCTAGATGAATGACAGACTTAGTCCAACTGGATATTTTCTCGTGGGACTGCAGAACTAAGAGAAGCCCATATATAGGATTAGGGAAAAAAGTTATTTATTACTTTAAAAGCAGTTATCTTAGCTCAGAGTGGATATGAGGATAAAATGTTGGGGAAGGGAACCCTTCTACACTACCTTGAATTCCTGCTGAGGAAAGGTGTAGAGTGAGTGTGTATGTTGTATCCTGCTTCACTCATACTGAGGGCAGACCTCTTGAAATAAGCAAACTTAATTTTCAGTAACTATTAATTCAAAGAGCCTGTTCTAAGCAATTAACACTGGATCTGACCCTATGTATGAACAATTTACTTTCATTTTCATAGGCATGTTTTGCCCAACCCTGGTTTAGATGTCTGCAGCTAGGACCTTTTTTTTAAGGTCTTGTGGCACATTTGAACTAAATTGTTATGACTCTTTTATGCTCAAGTAGCGACTGCTGCTTATTCCTGTCAGCTTTTCTGTTACATCACAGTTTAGCTTTATGAAGTAGAAGCAGAATAGGATGTTTTATGACTCAATCTTTTATGCAGTTGCCTTCTTCATTCATGCATTATACTGTGGTACTCTTTGAACTTTGAAAATAAAGAGCAAACACTTCAAGTAAAAAAGACTGCTGTATTTTTATAGCTATAGTCTTTTTCCAGTGGATCTGTCAGAGCTCTGGTCTCCTAGAAGGGCCTAACAGAAAAGAACAGTGGGGAGGAGAGGGCACAAAGCTCTAAGAGTGTTGACTATGAACCAACTTGTTTGTTTCCAAGTCTCTCCTTCTGTGGTCTTCTTTCTGGGAATAAGATACAAAACAGGCATGTTCAGGCATGTGTGATAATTTGCATATGTAATGTATAAAAGCAGTATTGGTAGGGATGCATGCCTGTGTACAAACTGCAGTTGTAATTACCAGTGTTATGAGATGATGAATATCTGTGCAAGTGTTCTCAACTATAGAGAACAGAGGCTGCAGTGGGAGTTGGTAGCTATGAAAAGCAGATAGCTTTGTTTTTAACTAATTGTGCTTTTATATCTTGCCTTATCTGGTGGGCACAAAGTGGTCTATAACAATTTCATTAGAATCTCTCTCCCCAGAAGTCATAGGTGGTGAATTTTGATGCCTTGAGAGCAAAGGCAAGCTAACTAAAAACAACTCTTTCCAGTTGCTTTCACACTCATTAACCCTAAAATAAGGCTCTCTTAATATACTCTTTATTTACCATCACCTTTGATTTTTGGACGACAAATATACAACTAAAGCGAGGGGGGGGGGAATAACATGAAAATGAAAAAACAACAAACCACTACTGCCTCTCGCATCTTTTTCAAAGTATAATTAGTTTTTAATTGGTTTGTTATGAAAGGATGCAGCGGGGCGGGCGGGGAACCAGATGCAACAGGTAGCAAGAGTGGTCATAACAGTTCTATTCAGTTTCTTTTATGTTGTTGGCAGGCAGGGTTTTCTTTAAACCAAGAAAACAGTTTTATTATAATACTTCCTATCTTGTGAATCAGGTTTCAGCTATTCTATATTTTAATAAACATCAGAAGAAAGTTCAGTGAAACAGCAGGTAAACTTGGTTTACAAGGAGAGCTGCTAGCCTTAAGAGATGTGCATTCTCACTTTTTAGTCCATATTCATTCATTAATTTGTTTATACTGAATAGCCAAAGCTCTTCAGGAAGTTCACAAAACAAACATAAAAAATGTTCACATTCAAAGTTTAAAAACAATTTAAAAGTGCTAAATAAAAGTTTCAGTAATATATTAGGACCTAACAAACATTTGACATTAAAAACCTATTCTGTGCTGTTAAATATGTGGGAGTACAGGATTCTCTTAACCTGGTGCTAGAAGGATGACATGAGCTGGACCTCAGTGGTAAAAACATTCCATAATTGGGAGGTTCTCACCAGCAACATCCTCTTGCTGACACCTTCCAGATCTCCCTTCAGAAGGGAGGAGTTGTTGCATGGTGACAGAGGTGCAGATTACTCAGACACCTTCAGGCAACATTTTCCTTCCAGGGGCAGATCAAGAGTCAAGTAATGTTCCTGAGTGGTGTAGTCCTATGGGAAGAGAAACCTTATTCTCTTTTTTCACTCAGAAATAGTTATACGCTTACCATAAAAAATTGAAGAAGGAAAAAATGCATGTACCATGAGAATCCTGAATAAAGACAAAGGAGAGCAGAAAATATGTTTCAACAGAAAATACACCTAGTTTTTAAAAATTTTTTAACCTGCACAGTTTCTAAACTTACTCCTATAGGACACTTTCCAAGAAATGTTTTCCAAATATCACCTTTTAATTGAATGGGAGCATGTTGTCCATTTCAAGTGGGAATGGAAAATCATGTCTCCCAGTAAACACTAATTAGGTGATACCTCCATCCTTTAAGTCTGCCAGATCTTTTCCATAATGATACTTTTATTAATACAAATATAAGTATATATCCTAAAAATAAAACCTATTTGATGAAAACCATACATAAACAATTCATAGAAACATCAGTATAATTCTACCAAAAGGAAGCACAATTCCCATGGATTCCAGTGATAGTAATCTAAACATTTGGCTCGATATTTAATGTAGTCATATAGTAAAATTAAATTACTATCACAAAAAAAAACTATCCATCTAAAAAAACATTATTCTGAAAAGGGCTGCTTTTTGTATCTGATTTGCGGGAGCTAAATGCAAGGTTTGGAAGGAAAGTGGCACACATTTGTGGATACTAGAAAGCTGTTAAGTGTAGGAATTCCCTAAAGTAAAGACTTGAAACTATTTCCCCCCACATATTTTAAATTGAGTATGTAGTAGAGTAGCAAGACTTCTATATGGTAAAATAATAACTGATTTTTTTCTTCTTCCCAGGAATCTTACAATGGCAACTACACAGTCTGTCTTCATATTCGCACTTTGTATTTTGATGATAACAGAATTGATCCTGGCTGCAGAGAGTTATTATGATGTTCTAGGCATTCCCAAAAATGCATCTGATCGTCAGATCAAGAAGGCATTTCATAAATTAGCAATGAAATACCACCCAGACAAAAATAAAAGTCCTGGGGCAGAAGCAAAATTCCGGGAAATTGCAGAAGGTAAGTTAAATCTTATTAAATTATATCCAGTACTGATTGAATAAATGAGGAGAGAACAAGGCTAGATATCTGATTTGTAAAATCACCTGCATTTTTCAGATACAGATATGTAGTTACTTGTGTAAGGAATTGTATATCTGTAACCTCTTAAAGCTCAAGGGAACTAGTAACAGAGGAATATGAATCTTTACTCTGTACTTCAGGGAATAAAGATTCATCTACCATATACTTGTAGTGTCTTTTCAGTTACCTTTGGAAACTTGTATAACTACCCCTTTATAACTATTGACATTTATATCCTGCCCTTTAGGACAATGCCCTCTCAAGGTGATTTCCTGCAGTAAAAGTTGTTGTTATGTGCTGTCAAATTGTCTCCAACTTATGGTGACCCTGCGAATGAAAGCCTCCCCCCCCCCCCAGTGTCCTGTCCACGACAGCCCTGCTCAGCGCTTGTAAATTCTTCTTTTATGGAGTCCGTTCATCTCATGTTAGGTCTTGCTGTACTTAATCTGCCTTCAGCTTTTCCTAGCATGATTGTCTTCTTGAGTGGGCAGTAAACAGTAGTTTATAGTAAAATTAAGTCTAAAGGCTGAATTTTAAAAAATGAAAGAGTGATCAGAGCAGGGAGTTTTAAGGTGGAAATTGAGAAAGGCTTAGACATTTTGTAAAGAGCTCATTCTGATCATCTTTGGAAGTGAACTTGCAAGAGTAAATGGACTAACCAGGAGAAGGGTTAGCCTTTTTAAATTAGATTTTATTAGAAATTAATATAGAAGAGCATGACTAGGAAAATATAGTGTGCTCTGTCTTAGCAGCTAGAATTCCCAAATTAATACATTTCTGTTGTGCCATATTGGTGTAGTTTTTATTAGTTAGACTTTTAAGGAGTCTAATGAATAAACTTTAACATAAGGAGGCTCTGTTACATGTTTTCAAAGGGTACAGGCCTATATATACTCAGAAAGCAAGCTAAGTCCCAGATAAATGTGTACAGGATTGCAGCCAAAATCAGTTTCTTAAATTATTTTTAGTATTTCCTGAGAATTTTAAATGGAACTGCCTGGAAGGACTACAATTCAGTGGTAGAAAATAGTCTTTGCATGCTAAAGTTGTTCGTGTGGTTGGGAAAGTTACTGACTAGAACCCAGGAGAGCTCCTGCTGATCTGTCCAGAATCAGTGAGAGCTAGATTAACCAAAGGTCTGAGCTGGTATGAAGTAGCTTTCTATTTCTGTGTAGCCTGCATCAAGAGTGTCATAGTTATTCTCTGCCACTTCCCAGTCCTGTTAGTGGGGAGAATTTCATAGAATAGTAGAGCTGAAACGGGCCATGAAGGCCATCGGTCAAACCCCCTGCTGTTGCACGGCACCAGTTTTCACCATCTCACTCAGATGACTATTCAGTTTTTCCTTGAATGTCTCTAGTGTGGGAGAGCTCATAGCCTCTCTAGACACTGTTGTATTGACAGTGAGGAAATATTTTCTGATATCTGGCCTGAAAATTTGACCTGAAATGACTGAGAACTGAACATGCATGTGAATGTACATGCTTGACTGAACTAAATCCATTCCCCTTGTCAGTATGTGTTAACATAAGGATTAAAATGTGTTTCTTGCATTGCTTTTACAGCTTATGAAACATTGTCTGATGAAAATAAACGAAGAGAATATGACCAATTTGGCCATGTAGAAGGGCGAAGAAACACTTTCCAACATCCATTTAATTTCAATTTTGATGACTTGTTTAAAGACTTCGACTTTTTTGGTCGTAATGGCAACACGCAGTCAAAGAAACATTTTGAAAATCACTTCCAGAATCATCAGCAGACAAGTACCCGGCAAAGACGTTCTTTCCCAGAATTTTCATTTGGAGGAGCAGGAATGTTTGATGACATGTTTGAAGACATGGAGAAAATGTTTTCATTTAGTGAGTTTGACAATGCTCAGAGGCACACAATGAGAACTGAAAATAAATTCCATGGATCTAGTAAGCACTGCAGAACTGTCACACAGCGTCGAGGAAACATGGTTACTACATTCACAGACTGTTCTGGACAATAATACTTTGCAGTTTCTTGGTCTCTGCCCTGCCCATAACTATTTCTTTTTATCCTTTGCTGCTAAAGCACAGATATTCTACAAACTGTGAGATTTATAGCTTAATCACTTTAACTGCTAAGAATAAGCTGTAGCTAAACTGATAATTGCCAGAAGTGCAACAAAACAAGATGGGACGATATTAACTTATTCCATTTGCTACATAGAATGTCCATATGGGGGAGGGGGGAATCTCCATATGACAGTGTTAGATTCTATTTTTAATAACATAGAAGCAAGATTACCATATTACCTCACTGTTAGGTTTTACTCTGCTTGGTGAAGTGTTGAGTTAGTGGTACACTAGACATAATTACTGTCAGGTTCCTGTTTCTTTAAAGTGTTAACCTGTTGAGTGCTTGTGTGATGCTCTTAATTAGCATAATGTTTACTTAATGATAATCCTGAGTTTTGTAAGTTGCCAGGAGTGACTTTAAAATACTGTAAAACATTAAAAATTTTAATTTATGTTTGAATTGAGGAAAAAATTGCCCTACAACTATTGGTAGTCTTTGAGTACAAAATATTTCAGTGACTGGCAGAATCCTTGCCACATCACACTGTTGCTGAATAATCCAGCTGCTCTTAAATCACTATTAGCCTGTTAGTTTCATTGAGTTCCCTCAGTGATTGTGTAAACAAAATTGTAATTTCAGATTCACCAGTTAAAACAAAGATAAATGAGCACAAAACCCATCTGATTTTGGCCTACTCACTCGGTTTAAAATAAAAAGTGCCCATCTCATGAGTGGATCTCATTTCCCTTCTGGTCCCAGCTTTGGTCGCTTGCAGGCTGGGAAATAGTTATTCTTGCATTTTCATAGAACCTTGTCTGTGTTCCTGTATGTTAATATGTCTTCTGGATATTTCACTGACTATGGAAGCTATTTGTTTCTTAGCTGTAAGTGGCGTCAGTTCAGGTCCCTGCAGGTGGTTCAGCATGCACCGTGTCTGTCTCATGATCACAGGATGAGCTGAAACACTGCCCTGCTGCAGTGGCAAAGAGCAGGTAGTGATCTGGCAGGTGTGCCACAAGAGTAGGTTGATTTAAATCAAAGGAATTTAAACCATTGATTTGAATTAAGTTTCGCACTGGAATGTTTTCATATTTTATGAGCAATGGTGCAGACCTTACCATTAAGCCATGTTAATTTATAGTTTTGGTTCACTGTATCTATTTTGCATGTTTTCTTTTACTTATAGAAAGCAGGTCTTTTAAACATTTCCCTGTAGGGACTGTCTTATGACCAGCACCCATGACTGTTTCACATTAAGCAGCACAATCCTATACATGCTTTCACAAATAAATTTCATTGAGTTCAATGGTGCTTACTTGCTTATGATTTCAGCCTTGGTATGAAAACACAGGAAGATGCACAATTTTGTTAATCTTTCTCCTTTCATTGTTGCTCTTTTATGCTTCACTCCATCCTGTCGCATTATTGCTCTCACAAAAAAACAAAGTGGTAAACAAATAAAATGGCCACGACTGATAGGTTAGAGCAAGAGTTGATAGTTACTGAGCAGCAAATATCCAATAAGAAGGGCAATGTTTTGGGAAGGTATTTTTAGTCACCCTGCTATATTGTCTGTCCGGATCTACTAGCTTAGCTTGCTTGACCAATCTAGACCACCATGCAACACAGAAAATCAATCCTATTTAGCCTGTGCCTTTTCACGTCTTAATTTACTCAGTGATAATGTAAGCCAAGAACGTTCAAATAGCAGTTGCTGATAGTTAAGTGGACAGCGTCACTTTCATGAGATGAAAAATAAATTAATGCCCATGTTTGGGAGATGACTTCACTTTCATGAAACTAAGTGTAGACTTAGTATGTTTGTGGTGAGATTTAATTAAAACTTTTCAGTGAAACATATTTTTAATGTTTTTTTTTTAAAAATCAGAAGTCTCTTTAAATCAAAGAATCTGATTTAAATAAACTCACTGGTTTCAGTTTACCCTGTGTACACCATATGAGTTATGGTTTGCTGGCTGCATCTTCATTTCTTCGTTCTGTTTTCTCTGTGCCAAATATTTGGTCTCAAAAAAATCTTGATGGTTGATCCCTGTGTCACAAACACTTGTGACTGAGAAGAGGCTAGACTCCTATGACCAGTCACTGGATATAAAACCATACACTATGCAATCTTGGGTCAGACTGAGGCCTTTGTCTGGCATATTGATGTAGAGCAGCCTTCCCTAGCCTGGTTCTTGCCACATGTTTTGACCTAAGCTCTCATCCATCACAAATGTCTATGCTTCTTGGGGTGGATGAGAACTAATCCAAAGCATCTGGAGGAATTATGATTAGGGAGGGGAAGGCTGCTGGTGTAAGCTCTTCACCTTGACATACAGTACTTGAACTGTTCTGAGGACTGTAATTGCAGCTGTAATTTAATCTGCTGCTCCTCTAAATATCAGACTCACTGCATATGTGTGGATTTCATTCTGCTTAGCTGTGTGTTACAAAGTGATTTGATCACACAAATTTACAGACTTGAATGGCTGAGAGTTACAATCCATTGAGAATCAAGAAGAGGGTTGGATCTCCTTGCCCATTTCTTCATGCATACAGATTCTTCAAAAGAAGGGGCAAAGATCAGTAAAATAGATACTCTGGGCAAACCCCAAGTAGGCTGACATTTTCTCCTATCATGGTGAAATTTCCTATAAGGTACTGTAAGAATGCAACAATGGAATATTTTTGAAAGAGTGACTCTTTAGCACAATCATATCTTCAAAAAGGACATAGCACATAATATCTAGTTTCACTTCTCTGCTCTGTTTAAAGTATGGGGTGTGCTTTGAGTGTATATTTTCACTGTATCTTGGTTTTAGTCCTCTTCTTTCATTTTTCCTATTTGCAAAGGCATAGAGGTGAGAACAGAATGTGGATATTAATGTTAAAACTTTCTTGTCCCTCAGTCTTTCTATTAGTTGGCTAAAAGTAGTTAATTAGTTTGTGGTGAAAAAACTCCTAAGATTTCACAACTAATTATAGAATTATGGGCATTCTCCTTGAGATACAAAATTAAAATGTTGATCAAATGAAGTCAAGCCAAAGACAAGACAAGCTACTTAATTGCAAGTGATTATCTTTCTTTTTTGTGAGCTGAGTGTTACACTCCTATGTTAGTGTTGATGTGTGATGTTAAAAAGAAAAACATACTAACCTTCCTTGTTAAGAAACTCGACTACAAAGGGAGTTGAAGGCATTGTTGTGTTTCTTGACACTCAATTTTTATTGATTCGACAAAGGCTTCTTTAGTAGCTTAATGGAAGTGAATAAGATTAAAAGGGGGTGGGTTTTTAGATAGAGCAGAGGCAGGAGATGGCAAAAGCTGAAGTGGAACATTAGTTGTGTAGAAACAGGAATGCTGATGGGTGCCACAATATTTTGTGATTCATGTGTGAAGGATACATATGCAGAAATCCCCCTTGGTTTAAGAGTGAAGATTACTTGAAATACAAGTAGAGGGTTTTTGCTTGCTTGTTTGTCTTAGTTTTGGTAAAGTTGCAACCTGTCAGGAAACTTAAAAGTGGGAAAGTTTTGAGGATCAGCATTTCTTTAAAAGCAGCCTTGGGTTGTCATTCAGACCCACAGTGGGAATGCAGCACTGTGCTGAATTACCAGGATAGCAACTCAATGCTCACCTCACACTGTTTTGACAGAAGGAGGCAAGTGGGGAGGGCCCACCCAAGAAGGCACGCCTCCCTGGCACGTGTGCTGAGCATTTGCAGACCTGATAGGCAGCTGAGCAAGTAATCTGTGTGAGCAGCTCTGGTGCTGGCACTAGTGCTGCTGAGCCTTTCTCTTTCCTTGCTGCCAGTTCCGAGGAGTATCAAAACGCCTTGCCTTTTTGGAAGTCTCAGAGTTGCAATCCATCCACACCAGGCAATCTGGCATCGACCTCCAGCTGTGAAGCCTTACAGAACCTGAATCCAACCCTCAGCTGCCTTGACTGTCAATAATTTATAATAAACTGGATTCCCAGACAATCTCCTCACACTAATAAGTGCTAATCAAACCCTCCTGGAATACTTATTCCTCCCTTTAAAAAAAACCTACAAACAAAAATGCTGAGACTCCAAAATCTATAAAAAAACAACAAAATCCATAAGCAACAAATCTCATGGACGTAGCACTCTTGGTAGGCCTACCAAAATAATGCCTAGGCCTCATCCCATTGACCAGGTTGAATTCTAGTCTCTCTGAATGGTTCCTCCTATTGATCCAAGACCAGATCACGTATAGAAGAAGCACTGCTCAGTATGTTGACCTCAGCATGCCAAAACCTTCCGCTGCTGGTGGCAATCTCCACGGGGCCTACGAAGGCACTCCGTTCCAGAAACCAACCAGAATCATGCTGATCGCAGACACCACCAGTCTCGAAGGTTGGAGAGCTCACTGCAACATCCCAGTGACTCAAGGCAAATGGCATTCATGGAAATAACCCCCCCCCCACACACATCAACTGGCTAAAACTTGGGGGAACGTACCTAGACCTGGTGCACTGCTGCCCAGTGTTGGTTCTGTCTGATGGATGTGTCATTCCCGTTTGCAGTAGATCGGCAAGAGTCCTGCATCCCAGTGGCGGTTAGGTGCGCTACTTATTTTGGGTGTCATGGAAGGGCAGCCCAGAGGTGTTTATTATATCTCTCCTGCCAGGGAGAGATACACTTGTTGGATTTTCTACCTCAGGTGGCATATATTTAAAACCATGGAATTGAAACAAAACCTGATGAAAGCAGGATTGTTCCTGAACATTAAGAAAAAAGACACATGACTACAGAACTTTTAAAGTCAACAATGAAGAAATGGAAGTAGTAGAAGATTTTGCATATGTTGGCTCAGTTATCAGTTCAAAGGGATAATGCAGCCAAGAAATTAGAAAAAGAGTGAGCTGTGGAAGGGCAGCAATGAAGGAACCAGGAAAGATCATCAGGTATGAGGACATTGTACTGGAGACTGAGGTCAAGTTCATCCAGGCTATTGTATTCCTAATGACTATTTGTGGGTGTGAAAGCTGGACAGTGAAGAGAGTTCATAGGAAAAAAGGATGTGAATACCCTGGACTGACAGAAAAACAAGTGGGTCCTGGATCAAATCAAGCCAGAACTTTCCCTGGAAGCAACATTTATGAGATTGAGGCTGTCATATTTTGGACACATCATGATAAGGTAAGACTGACTGGAGAAAACAGTCATGCGAGGGAAAGTCAAAGGCAGCAGCAGAATTGGAAGGCCACATATGGGATAGCTTGATTTCATGAAGCAAGCCACAGCCTAGAACCTAACAAAAGCTGAGCCGGGCTATCCAGGACATGCATAAGGTTGCCATAAGCTGGAGATGACTCAACAGCAGATAACAAAAATCAGTGGATACGTATTCTCATGTTAACTTCTCAAAGGATAAATTTGACTGAGATGTTAGAATCTGTTAGAGTGAGGCCAAATGCACCTTCAAAGCAGACCATTCAGAGCTAACTCTGAATTAGTAGTACGCCAACATGTTTACACTACAATCAACCCATTAGCCTTTAAGTGTCCTAAGGACTCTTCACTGTTCAAGAAGACTCTACATCAGGAGTAGGCAACCTGTGGCCCTTCAGATGTTTTAGCCTACATTTGGCCTCACTGTTGCCTCTTGCGGCTAGAGCTGTTGGATGTTACAAGTCAAAACATCCGGTGAGACAAAAGCCACCCCCCCTTTTAAATCAGCCACCCCCCTCTCAAACTGATGGCAGTTCTGTAACATGAACAGTATTAATGTAAGTTAGTCTTATACAGAGCAAACCCACCAGCAGGCATTTGCTACCGAAGTAGGGCTCTGTAGAGTCGAAGGAACTACTGAATGTCAACAGGCACATTTGTCTCCAGTAGGATCATAAAGAAATGCCGCACGTTCTGCTCAAGTTCTAAACAATCTGTATTTTAATGAGAAGTCAAGGCACTGTCTCCCTCGCAGCCTTCCTGTTCTCCGCCTGAACTATTAGTCAGAACAAATAATCTGTTCTTCTGAACCAGTATGTCAGCTTCGAACTAAATGTCTTTTTATTTGGTTCTGACAGACTGTGCTCTGCAAGATTGCTCCTGGCACAAGACCAGCAGCAAAAACAAGTTATCACAGGAAAAATAAGGCCGAAAATAATAGAATTCTGTACACTTAAGTGGCAAAGGCTGAAGACCATTTTAAAGTTGCCAAAGGATGCACAACTAGAGGAGAGGGATCTACCGAGAAGGAATGGTTGAGCTGGCAGGGTGCCACGCCTCACAGACCTGGCTGCTGTGTGACAGCCACTGACTGCTGTTTTTTCCACTG